AAGCCTCCCTGATGAAGTATATGATCAGAAGGTAGAATCAATGGACTTGAATTCCAGATCTGCTGTTTACTGGCTCTGTGGTCTTGGGCGAATTTCTGAACCTGATTCTCAGTTTCTGCCTCTGTGAAATGGATATAATAATAATAGCACCTACCTTAGTAGGCTGTTTTGAGGATTAAATTGGCACATGGTTAATGCTGTATTGCTTAGTTCTGGCTGTTAACTGCCTGCCCTCCCCCAGATGGCCTCATTTTGCCCTATCTCACCAACCATTGGGCAGGTGACACTCTTTCCATTGTGAAAGAGAGGACCTGGTGAGGCAGGGCGGGGGGATGAGACTGACGGTCCTAGACTGAGTCAAGACCACGAGAGAATCCCAGAGCCGGGGGCAGGGGCCTGCTGCACCCCTAGACTGTCTGCACTGTGCCCAGGCAGGGCACGTCGCCAGTCCTGGTGGTGGCTGGGTACTTTAGAGCAAGGGTGTGCTGTGTGGCTGTTCTCAGAGTTGCGCCTGACCCCATTACCCAAGGCCAAAGCAGCCGCTATGAGGCCTCACCTGTGCCCTGCCCCAGGCGCTGGCCCCCTGTGCCTGTACGTGCTCCCTTCCCTCTCCCTGCCACCTGAGAGTCGGTTCCTTCCCCCATCCCCCATAGCCGCCCAGAGGCTGGGGGGAGCCATCAGCCCCTGGGGGCAGCACCAGGGCGTCTGTCTTCGTGGAGCTGCCTCCACCCGAGAAGATGATGACAGAGCTGGGCAGGTTTGGGTGTACACGAAGTGTGTGCTGGGGGAATGTGGCAGGCCGTGGAACCTGCTGCATGCCCCTCGCGGCCCCAGGGTGGGGGAACTCTGCTCAGCAGGGCGTGGTGCCCCCAGCCCTGTGCCTTGCAGGAGGGTGAGGGCCGAGGTTGGGGACCATTGGTGACATTTGGGGAGGCCACCCTGGAGAGGGCAGGGCATCCTGGGGGAGTCCTAATCCTGGCTCCCTGCTCACTAGGCAGGTGCCCTTGAGAAAGGCCCTCACCCCCAGGCCACAGTTCCTTCATCTATACAAGGGGCAGCATACCCCGCTGCCCCAGGCCTTGGGTGAGGAGGTAATGGGGACACCACCATGGCACACAGTAGGTCTCACTGCGTGAGCAAATGATTGAATGGGGCTTATCTCAGAGAGAACCTTCCAGAAGGAGATTATAATGGTCGCAAGCGCCCCTTTGGGCTTTGATTACAGATGGGGAAACTGGTGCCTAGAAAGGTGGCCTCGTTCCTCAGCCACAGTGCCTCCTAGCCCACCGCTGATGCTGAAAGTCCACTGTCAGAGCTCCAGGCATTTCTTTCCTGACTGTTTCACCCTCAGGACTGTCTCCTGTGGGTGTGGAGAGGTGCGGGGCAGGTGGGGAGCTGGGGGCAGAGTGGGACCAACCAGGGACCCAGGGCATCCCAAAGAGGCCAGTGAGGCGTAGAGGGGGTACAGAGTGGGCCTGCTGCTCCACACCCCATAGTCCAGGGTCACCGATGAGCCTCCCACAGCCCTGATTACCTTCCTGATCCCCAGAATTCCAGAAACAGGCCGCCCCCACTCATCCAATTAATGTATGCCATGTTTGGCTGCAGTGGTGAGCCGTCGCTGGGGTGGTCAAATTAATGAAGCCAGCGTGGGTTCTTGGTGGGCAGTAATGAACCTGGTCATCAAAGTATTGAATGGCAGCTCCTTCTCACCTGGGCTCCAGGGCAGGGAGGGCAGGCACTGGGACATTAATTTGGGGGCCCCTGGGGGCACGCCTCACCCCCCATGGGACCCACTCCATGCCTTCCATGCACCACCTCCCTGTGGACGCCCCCTGGACACCGACTCTGGGTGAAGGGCAGGTATGGCCTTGGGGCAGGGGAGGGGGCAGGGCCAAGCTGTGCACAGCCCGCTTTCCAGGCCTCCAAGTCTAGAGGGGCCGACAGAGGACAGGCTGGGTGCTGGGAAGGAAGGTGTCACCAGGGTGCCAGGGAATCCCGACACAGCCAAGAGTCCAGGGACACTTCCTGGCCCGCTCTCCCGTGGCGGCCCCCCTTAGCGATCCCTGTCCTGGCTCACTCACCAGGGGGACGGGCCCCCCACCTGAGCCTGCTGCCAGCCCTCCCCACTGTGGGGTGCTGCTCCCTCCGGATCTAAGCACTCTGAGTGGGAGGACTGGACATGGCCTGTTGACCCCAGCCCACCCCCACTCCACCCCTCCCCTGGGCGTGGGCTCTGGCCACACCCCTCTCTGGATGGCCTCACCTCCAGGCCTTTTCTGCAGGTGCTGGAGGCCCTCGTCCATGGGGTCACCCCTGCCTCCCTGTTTGGGCTTCCTGATGAAAGTCTGGGGTGCCCCATGAAATATGAATTCCAGATCAACAGCTGGGTAGTTAGGTAGTGTAGGCATGTCCCATGCCATGTTTGGTGCATACTTACACTGAACACTTGTTGATCTGAAATTCAAACTTCACCCTCTCAAGCTCCTTTTTGGGGGGGGGTCAGCCCTTAGAGAAGGAAGGCAGCAGCTTCTTTGGGCCAGGCAAGATGAACAAAACCAAACTCTCAGAGGCAAGGCAAAGCCCGGAGCATGGGATGCGGCGAGGGGAATCGGGCGGGGCGGCGGGGGGCCTGCAGACTGCGGACCCGGGCTGGGTGCTCTCTCTCCCTGAGCCTCAGTTTGCTCATCTGTACGATACACTTTCTCGGGTGGTTTTCATTCATTCTTCCAACATTCACTGGGCCCTCCTGCCTGCCAGGCTTGCCGCAGGGTCTGCGGATACAGCAGGGAGGGAGGCAGACAGAAACCCCTGTACTGTGGAGCTCCCGCCTGAGGGGGTGAGGCTGGGGACGCACAGGCTCAGCAGGGCAGGGGAAAGAGGGAGCCTGCAGAGCCCAGGGACGTCCTCTTCAGGAGAGGGGGCAACCGGGAAGAAGCCAGGCATCAGGAACAGCAGGTGCAGAGGCCCTGTGGCAGGAGCACGCTGAATGTGGCTGGGGGAGGAGGGGGGGTGGAAGGTGAGGTCCAGAGGGTGGTAGGAAGGCCACCTGCCCATCAGGTGACCAGTGTGAACACACTGGCTTTGGTCCAGGGGAGGCAGGGGTTGTGCTCAGGTTTTGAGCGGAGGGGGGATGGATTTGACTTAGGCTGGGAGTGGATGGGAGCAGGAGCAGAACGCCAGTGAGGAGGCGGTGCAGCAATACCATGAGGGAAGTTGGGCCCAGAGCGGTGGGTGGCGCTGGAAGAGCTGGAGGAGATATTCGGGAGACAGAGGCGGGGGGCCTGGAAGGACAGGGGAGAGAGAGGAGTCCGGCATGCTCGCCAGCAGGGGGCGACAGCTGCGGCACTGGGGGGGAGGGGGAGGGAAGGCTGTGGTTTGGGAGAGGGTTGCGGGACTCAGCTGCCCATGCGACATCCCAGCACAGTGGGCACGGAAGGGTGGGTAAACACCTGGCATCGGGGGAGCGTAAATCTGGGGTCCTCAGCAGAGAAACGGTATTTGTGGCTGGGGTCACTGTGGGCTGGGCATACCCAGGGACGGGGAGCGGCTGGCGGTCTGATCCTGGGGACCCACCCGTGACAGGAGGTCATGGAGAGGAGCACCCACAGAGGGGCCGAGGGGTGTGTGAGGAGGAGCCGGCTGCGTCCCTGGCTGCGGAGGGCTCCCGCCCCATGAGGACGGAGAACGGGCCAGCAGGAGCCAGGTGGGCATCCCTGGCAGGATGGGGGCAAGGACAGGCCATGCTGCATGGAGCAGAGAACGGGGGCTGTACCTAGAGGGGCAGGAGCAGGCTGCTCTCAATGTGGGAACAGTACCTCTTGTTTGTGTGCCCGAGGAAATGATCCACAAGTGGTAGGCATTGGTGGCTCAGGAGCGAGGGGGGTGAGGGGCTGCCTGGCAGGTTGTCTGCAGTGATGTGTGTGGCACCAGGTGTTGGGGCAGATGCTGGTAGGTGGCATCTGGGTGAGTCCCCTTTCTCAGCAGAAGAGGAAGGTCATCAGCTGTGAGTGGGGCTGGGGAGGAGGTGCTGGGAGGTTGAGCAGAGATGTGTGAAGCCATTTTCCAAGTGGCGGGAAAGTGAAGGGAACAGAAAATGTGGTATGATTCCCTGGCCATTCTGTTGAATGAGCAGAAAGAGGCCTGTCAGCTCAGCCAAGTGACTTTCTGCTGTCCATGTGAGAGGCATGCCCAGTTGATGGAGTGGTGGCCCTAATGAGGTTGGAGTTTGGCCCCAATATTCATACAGTGAAAGGAGAAAGGGGGAGGGAAACTTGGCACATGAGTGACACAGTGAGAACAAGGTGGGGAAGGGGCTGTGAGAATCTGGTAGCGCTAACGGAGTTGGGGGGCATCAGAGGGAGTGAGCTAGAGAGTGTGGTGTCAGAAGTGTGATAAGGAAGGGAGCTGGCATTGGTGAGGGTACAGGGTGCACCCAGTGGGTCTGGGAGTTGGACTGGGGCCTGACTCTCCCCCACCCCCAGGCACTGCAACCCACCCCAGTCACCCCTTTTGCCCCCTGTCATTGTCTCAGTGTGTTGGTTTTCTGAGTGCCAGGCTACCCTGGGGCCCCGTGTTCCCAGCCAAGCTCCAAGGGGCAGCATATGTGCCTTCCTGTGGATTCTAGTAGCTGGGAGAGGTTGACAGAGCCCCAGGCTGGGGGCTGGGAGGCCTGCATTTGGCCTGATTTACATGTGACACTTCAAGTCACATGTCGCTGCTCAGAGCCCAGACTCTTTGTCTACCGTCCAGGCCTGATGAGGACCAATGTGGACAGCATTTGACCCACAGAGAATGGGCACTGAGGGATCACCAGGGCTGATGGCTGCTCTTCTAAGCAGCTCTGACTCTACCCCACCCCACCCCAACCCCACTCCGGCCTTCCTTGGATCCCCAGGGTCCTACTGTTTATCTCTGTTCCCCTCTGGGAGCCAGAGTCCCCAGGCCTTTTCTGGGTGGGCCGCTGGGAGCTTAGGGCTGCTGTGCTCTCCTGTGACCAGGACTGCGCAGAGGTCATGGGCCTCTCCAGCGCCTGGCCGCCAGGCCCTGCTGTGTGCCGAGCCCTGCACCAGGCTCTGGGACCCTGTGGAGGAGGAGCAGACACAAACCTGAGCTCAAAGAGGACCCCTTTGCATTGTAAAGGTGAGACAGGGATAGCAAGGAGGGCTCCTGACCCAGAGGGAGGCCTTCCTGGAGGAGGTGAATAGAGTGAACCAAAGAGCAGGGAAGGGGATGTGCTGAGCAGGAGGGGTGATGTATGCAAAGGTCCAGGGGTGACACTGCAGCTGCTCCATCCACCAGCCTGGATTGTCCTGCTTTGCCCCAGCTCTGGGCACCCTGCTGTCTGCCCACCCACTGAGGGCACACCAGGCCATGGTGCTGCCAGCTCCCTGCATGTGGTTCTGCCTTGGCGGTGGAGGTGGCGGGGGGGGGGCAGTGCGGGCAGCAGGAGGAGGACTGAGGCCTCCTGATAAGATGAGTGAGATGAGGCATTTCCCGGCTCCAGTCCCTGGGCAGGAGGGAGAAGCAGAGCCCCCTGGTCCAGGAGGGAGGGGGATGGTTCCACTGGGCGACCTTGGTCTGCGGGCCAGAAGAGAGCAGGTCCCAGGCAGGTGTTGGGTTCGAGAAGTCCCTGCACCTCCTGGCCTGAGCAGGTGACCCCTCCGGGCTGTGGGCCCCCAAGTCAGCACTGTGACAGGCCCCTCCCCTGGTCCACATGCACACACGTGTGCACACGCCCTTCCCCAGGAACTTTGCACAGCAGCCTGGCCCCTGCAGTAGCCCAGGGCAGGTCCCTGTGCGCGTGGCATTGCGGGCTGTGGCTGTGCGGAGGTCACCTGGCGGCCGGGCCGTGTGTCTGAGTCGGTGATGCTGCCGGGCGGAGCTCCTCCTCCGGGGAGTGGCTCAGGGACCCAGCAGGAAGTGGGATGGGCTCCTGCACTGCACCCTGCAAAGGTCACTGCTTCGTGGGCTCCAGTCTGCCTCTGATGAGCAGGCCTCACAGGGAGATGGTGGCTGTGCCTGCCCTTATTTGGGGAACAGTTCCATAGATACAGCACCACAGTTTGCCTTGAAATCTGTCATTTCAGCATGAGGGGAAGAGCAGTTGGCCTGGTGTTGAACCCTAGCAGGGCCGTGGGACCTCAGAGGGGCCATTCCTTGATTGCCACAAACCTCAGCTTCCTTCTCTGTAAAGCGGGTGTGGTGCACACCTCCTTTCCCCAGTGGCCTGAGACTAGGTGAACAGGTTTGTGCAGGCACCTGGGGCAGGGCGGGCCCTTGGAAGGTGCTGGGGGTGCTGGTTGACCTTTCACACCACCTGCCCCTCAGGAAAGGTCCAGAGGGGGCTCCCAAAGGGACAGGGAAGGTGCAGGGGATGGAATCAGCAAGGCAGCCGTCAAAGTCAAGGGGAATAGGGAAAGATTCTACTGAGATATGCAGAAAAGCGGTGGCTGCCAAACACAGGGGCACAGGCCAGGGCACACGAGGGTCTCTGCAGGGGCAGAGGGAGCACTGGGTTGTCTCCTGCTGTGAAAGGCCTAGTGGCACAAAGCTTTTTGCAGGGAGACTTAGAAATGGTGCCCGTGTGGGGCAGCGGGCAGAGCCGCCTCAGCAGAGACCCAGCCCCGGGCCTCTGGAGAGCAGGGGAAGCGGGAAGGCCAGTCCCACAGGCACAGGCATGGCAGTTCCTTGTCCCTGAGAAGTGAGAGGGGGCAGGGGTGTCCCAGGAGGCAGGAGCCTAAGGGAGAAGAGGGGCCGCCCTGGAAGAGCTGGGAAGGTGTGTCCGCAGCCAAGGGCCAGCAGAGACAGGTGCTGAAGCAGAAGGAAGGGGTCTGGGGGACTGAGTGGCCCAAAGGCCAGCACAAGTGAGGGCACAGGGTGCCCGCACAGGGCGAGGCGGAGGCAGTGGTGGGTCTGAGGGGCGGGCACCTGGGGAGAGGGCTCCTGGGACATGGTGTGGCTGGGTGTTGTGACGGCTGTTGGCTGCTGGGGTTGGATTGGAGTTCAAGGACAAGGGTGGAGCGGGAGACCCTGGCCCGTCACTCAGCAGTGAATGGGACAACTCAGCCCCAAAATGCTTCCTGACGATGGGGCATCTCCTGACCACTGACCTCCACCCACAGCCAGCTAGGGTGGCCAGGGTCTCAGGGTCCCACCCAGGTAGCCTGGGGCAGGAGGGTGTGAGCGCCACACTGGCAGAGGGCACGTGGGGACAAAGTCACCAAGATGAGAAGCTGCCTGCAGCATGTGAAGAACGACAAGCAATCTGGTGTTGCTGGAGCACGGCTGCCAGGCCAGATCCTGAGGTCTGAGAGCCAAAGATGGGCTGGGCAGTGAGGGCAGGCCAGAGGTCATAGCACAGCTCCGCCCTGGACTAGGTGAGAAGGGACCGGGTGGCCTCAGCTGTGTGATGTGGGTGATGCTGGAGCCCCTCCAGGGTTGAGAAGAGGTGGGACAAGCATCCCACACTTGCTGTGTGCCCTTCTCTGCCCCCAAAGCCCCCAGCCAGTGCCCACAGCCCCTCAGAGCTGGCTGGGCTGCACTCCCTGGTTCCCTGAGCCAGGCACTCCTCAGGGGAGGAGCCAGGCATCTGCTAACATCCCCCACCCCCCACAGTGCTCCCTGGGGCCTATCCTGCCTGCAACCCTTGTAGGGCTCCAGGCCCGCAGGGCCGATCTCTGCCTGAGAGACACACAGGGCCAGGTGCTGGCTGTTCCCCACATAACGACACCCACATCCATGCAGGGGACCCCAGATCACCAAGGCCCCCGTGACTCAGGACAGGTCAGCCTCAGCTGGTTCTCATCTTGTCCTCACCCCAGACTTGCTGTGTGATCTTGGGAGAGTTGCTTGACCTCTCTGGGCCCCATTTTTCTCATCTCTAGGACAGGGGCACGCCCCACACCACAGTCTAGGAATGAGAATTTGCATCAGAACAGGAGCGGGTTTTCAGTGATACATGCCCTGTGTGTGACCAAGGCAGAGTTTGGGTCACGTCACAGCCTTGCCCTCCACTTGCTGTGCCTCCAAGCAAGCCCCGCCCCTTCTCTGGGCCTCAGCTTCCCCCTGGGTCCCAGCCTCCCATATTCTCTTCTGGAAATTCACCTACTGGGAGTTCCCACTGTGGATGGGGCTTTTGGGGTGGGGACTGGCTGCCGAGGTCCCGCAGGGGACCCCGCAGGAATTGCTGGCTCCAGCTGAGCCATGGAGGGCAGAGTGGTGGTGTCTGGCCAATCCTGCACCTGCTCTCTGTTTGGGGTGTGGCTGAGGGGGCACGCTGGGAATGGAATCCCAAAGTCCAGTCCACCCAAAGACCAAGCCCCCCTCCCGGCCCCCCACCTGCCCGCACAGCGTGCTGAGGCTCCGTCCTGCAGAAAGAAGACCTGCTCAGGAGACCAGGCCCAAGGGCAGCCCACTCCCCAGATGAGAAAACGGGGGCTCGCAGGCATGGTGACCCAAAGGCAGCTCGTGGCCCAGGGCCGAGGGCATCCCTGCTTCCTGGTTCAGTCTGTCACATCGACACTGAAAACCCTCTTTTTTATTTTTTGGCAGTATTTGTTCCTTAGCAAATTTTTTTCTGATTTTTGATCTTCACTATGGGAAATATGACAAATCAAGAGAAAGTACCAAAGAATAATTTTAAATGACCCAGAACCCCCCCCAACACCCATAGCATTAACATTTCTTTCTTTCCCTCACTTCTGGGGGCTGCCCATGTGCGGTCACTCTTCCACGGGACCGTGCCTTTTTCTCTTCACACACGTGCCCATGCGTGTCTCTCAGCGTTGTTTGGAAGCTGATTGGCAGCACCCTTTCATCAAATTTCTGCTTTGACCCCAGGGCCAACCAGGCCACCAGGAGAGTCCCTGGAAAGACTGCAGGGCGGGGATCACCACAGACTCATAGCTAAGGCTGTGAACACAGCCCGGTGCCCCCAGTAGGGTGGCACCACAAGCAGGGCAGGCAAGCCCATGTCCCTTCGTGTATTCAACTACCCACCCATTGCCCAGCCCAGACAGGCCACAGGCAGGGTTGGGTGAGAAGGGGACCCCGGAGGGTCATGTGGGCCCTGCCCTGGAACCGTGACATCCGCTGGGTCCCCAAGCCTCCAAGCGTCCGTGCACGTGCACCCAGCACAGCCTCCCAGCAGGGGTGGGGGAGGGGTCCCACTATCCCCCCATCTTCCCTGCCTCCCGGTGTCTTGACCAACAGGTCCTTCATGCAAGGAGCAGGTGCCAGACAGGAACTCAGAGCTGGGGGTACCTTGCCCCCCAGTGACTCCACCTGAGGCCGAGATGGTGGAGGCAGGCCTGTGGGTGGGGCCTGTGCCACTGGTGGGACTCGGTGCCACCGATGAGCTCAGGCAGCAGGGCTGGCAGGTGCCCAAGCTGGGTCTGCACTCACACCCCACCACTCAGCTGACATTCCTGCTGTGTGGGGGCGACTCCCCATCTTTCTGTGGCTGTGCCCGTGGTGGCCCGCCCCCCTCTTCTGAGCAGCTCTGTCCTCTTCGCCCACAGGCTGCGCAGCCCCTGGGTGCCCTCCTGCCTCGGGCAGCCCCGCGTCCTGCAGGGCCGACTGGCCAGGTCCTCGCCCTCGCTCTGGGACAGGTAACATACCTGTTGTCTCCCCAGCTCCCCGGTGTCTCTGCATCTGTCCCCAGACGTCCGTCCAGTGTCTGCGTCAACTCCCCAGAGACAGATGGTGTGGCCGAGGGGCGGAGTGCCGGGCCGCCAGCGCGTCCTTGCCGCTCCTCTGTGCCATCCCGGCCCCAGCCAAGGGCTCCGGGAAGGTCCTGGCAGAGGGCAGGAGAGGACTGCTCACGGCCCCACTCTGCGCCGAGACAACCCGCCGTCCTTCCCCGTGAGGCAGCAGAGAGCTTCCAGGGGCTTCTGGAGGCAAGGAGGGAACCAGGAGGCACCCACTGACCCACACATTCTCCCCAGGTCAGGTTCAGATCCTGGTTTGATTCACCAGGACGAAGGTCAAAGCAAAGGGACCCTCCCGGGCTAGTCTGAGCAGAGCCGCCTGAGCCTCCCAGGCCAGGAGGTGGCCCTGATCTGGTGGGCGAGGCATTGGCCAGTCTGGTCACAAGGGACTGCCACACCCTCCCTGTGCATCTGTTGAGGGGATGTTTGCGGACACCAGGGCCCCCTGAGTCAGCCCCCACTCAGGGGATGCAGAGGCCATGGCTGTGATTACCCAGGCCCCCGAGCAGTCCCCCCAGATCCCCAGCAGCCTGGAGGATCTTGCTTCCACAGGGTGCCGGCCTCTGGTGTCATCTTCCCAGAGTTCCAGTGGCCCAGTGTAGTGCACCCTGGTGAGCCCTGCTCCCCGAGTGCGGTGCCCGTGTATGGGCGCACAGCCCTGTTGCACAGACCTGGAGGCTGAGGCTGAGGCCGAGGTCAAGCAGGGGTCGGGTTAATGTGCTGGGAGAGGAAGGCGCTGGATGGGATAGTGGCACCTCCCAGGCTGCCACACACCCCAGGTTGCTCAGTCCAGGACTGTCTCTGGACCAGGCCAAGGAGGGGACATGGTCAAAGCTTTTGAGAAGCTGATCTTCAGGACTTGTGACAGGCAGTACGGGGCAAGGAGGGGTCGGTCACCAGGCCTCTCAGGGACTGAGCAAAGATAGCTGTGCCCTTCCCAGGGTGGGGAGAGCAGGGGGCTGAGACTGGTCAGCACTGGACACCCTGAGTGTGAGGTGCCTGTGGGCCATCTGGGCAGAGGGCCCGTGGGTGGCTGGATGTGGGGGAGCAGAACCCTGAAGATTGTCCCGGGCTGGAGACAGAGGCTGGGAGGGGTCTCTGGGCTGTCAGGGAGATTCGGCCTGAGCCTGGCAGAGAGGGGCCAGTGCAGACCAGGGCCCTGAGGACCAGCCCGGGCAAAGTCAGGGTGTCTGCAGGCAGATCCAGCGCAGCAGAGATGGGAAAGGCAGTAGGATCACTGGACGGCAGGCTTGGGCACCTGCTCTGAGGGGCGGGGGGTGTGGGTGGAGCAAGGATGGGCAGGAGCCAGGGGCTGGGGGTGCTGCCAGCCCAGGACTGGCAGTGGGTGCAGCTTAAGGGCGAGTGGGTGAGAGGGACTTGGGGAGGGTGGGAGGAGTATCTAAGGGCTGGTGGGGCACAGCCCCGCAGTAGGTTTGGAAGGCCATCCAGATACAAGGGCAAACTGGGGCTCGGGCAGGCCGGCTTGGTGAAGCTGGTTACCTCGTAAGTGGAGGCATCAGCCCAGGGTCTTTGCAGCCGGACACTGCGTGCGTCCCCTTGCTCATTGTCTCCCCTTGAAACTAGGCTCCATGGGGTGGGGATCGTGTTTGTCTTACTTGCTGTGTGAGGTGCTGGGAACGGGCGAACGGAAGAGGAGAGAGGGTGATTGGTGGATGTGGCCTGGGGAGACAGGGCCAGGCCCCGGCTGGACTGAGCAGTCTGAGGGATGGGGACCCCGGCCGTGGCTGTGTGTGGGTGGCCATGGGTGGGGCGTACAGGGGCTCAAGTGGCCACGTCTGTGGACAGATGATGCCCTCACCTCTTCCACAGGGTGCAGGCCCTACCCATACCCTGTGACCGAGGGCTCCCCACAGCCCTGCAGGGTGACTGACTTGAGGGGCTACTGCCCCACCCCTACCCAATAGTGTGTCTGCAAGGGCCCCTGGATGACGCAGGGGTGTCCCCAGGAAGCTCGCCACCCCAGTGGGGAGAATGGCTGGGGCAAGGAGCAGTCTGGTATCTGTAGAGGCAGGTTGCTCAGGGCAGGATAGCCAGGCACACTGCCTGGAGGAGGTGGCAGGATCTGCATAGACAGCCGCGGGCAGTTTGTCTCTGGCCTCCCTCCTTGCCTGTCACTCTGCATCCTCCTGGGGAACTGACTCTTGGGAAGACTCACCCCGCCCTTCTCTGAGGTTCTCAAAACATAGGCAACTCTTTATTTTTATTCATTTTTGAAAATGTAGACCTGGGCAGGAATCCAGGAATGCTTAGTTGTGGTTTGCTGGGTGTGTGCCTATGGTACAGAGCGTGGTTTACACACAGGGCCCCAGACTGCGGATCAGTGAACCCCGGGTGCTGGAGAAAGCCCCCTGCCTGACCCCACCCACCTCACTCGGGTTGGGGTCTGAGAGGCCCCAGGAGCGCAGCCCCTTGCCCAAGGTGCCACAGCACATTCAGGGGCAGTCCAGGTCCCCAGGCCCTGCTGCATCCCAGGTTTCCAGACTGACGCTCAAGGAGTTGCCTTCTGCCCGCACCTGGGGGTGGGGGGCACTGCCCATGCCCTGCTCCCAGCCCCGCAGCACGCCCACCGGGAGTTAGCAGCTGAAAGTGTGCTGGCCCCGGGCGGGCCCCTGCGGGGGTGCTCTTGTTCGGCAGTCAGTCCTCTGAGGCCCCGCTCTGGCCTGGGCACCTTTCCAAGCAGAATTTTTTTTGGATCCAGGGCTTTGTGTTTACAGGGCAAGAAGGGAACAGCCCCCACTTCCCAGGAGGAAGCTGAGGCCTTGGTGGATAGTGGGCGGCCTGGGGTCACACGGCAGAGACCAGCAGCCAGGTCTGAGGGACAGCAGAGCCCCTGCCTACCCCAGGATGCTAGGCTGGAGTTCACCTGTGCCTGAGCCTCTCTGGGCTTCCACGTCATGCAGTGCAGGGAGAGACGGGCAAGTGCGCGACCCCAGAACTGAACAACAGCTTGACTCTAAGCTCCGCTTGTGGCTGACACCCAGCAGAAGGCCCCTGATGCCCCTCGCCCACCTTGCAGCAGCTCCCTTCCCTGCAGAAATCGCCCCCCTGGCCCCACTGTTAAAGATGAGTCTGCCTGTTGTGTGCTCAGCCAGTAAAGGGAAGCTCAGTTCAGTGCTGTGTCTGCCCACAGGCGGGTGTGGCCCCTGGCCGCATGCCCACCCCTCCTGCCTTGTGCCAAATACTGCTCAGTTGAATTGCTGGCATGCGGCTCAGAGGGTGAATTATCCTCTGTATCTGCTTGCTGAGCATAGGGGTGCTAGAGGAGACCCCCAGTCTGTGGGGAAAATAAAACCATGGGCCTGGGGCTCTGGAAGGCTTCCTGGAGGAAGGGAAATTGAGCAGGCCAGAGCTTTGCTGAATTTCTGATGCCTTATGCAGCTAGCCTGGTCCTGGGGCATCTCTGACCCCCACTCACTGGCCCGGACATCACACAGCCTGCTGGAGCCACCCAGCCGATTTGCAGAAGGGAGGCCTGGTCCAGGGTGTAGCACTGGGCCCCAGCATCCCCACCCAGAGCTATGGGGGAGGGAAAGTGGGGGCCCTGGTAAGCTAGGTATTTTGGAGGTCGGCTCTCAGGCGGGGTGCCCCGGGTGCTTATGGGTGCTCCTTAAACCAGAGTCCTTTAAGCCTCTCCAGATACTCGCCAGGGTCTGGGGTTAATGTCGTTTCTCTTCCGAGGTGACCACACGGGGATTTACTTCTGATGGGGCACAGCAGGGGCTGAGGGGCAGCCTGGGCCAGACCCAGCCCGACCCCTAAGGGGGAGCTCTAAGCTTTCAGTGCCGCCCGGAGGAGGGTGTGTGCGTGTGTGTGGCGTGTGCGTGCAGCTGGACGCGCACGGTGCGCACCCACGGCGCCCCGGCTGGCCCGCGCGGGCCTCAGTTTCCCCGCGCTCAGCGCCGCGGCCCGGCCCGCCGCCGCGTGTCGTTGCAGCGCGCTGCAGGAGCAGAAGGGCGAGCTGCGCAAGCGGCTGTCCTACACCACGCACAAGCTCGAGAAGCTCGAGACCGAGTTCGACTCCACGCGCCACTACCTGGAGATCGAGCTGCGGCGCGCGCAGGAGGAACTCGAGAAGGTCACAGAGAAGCTGCGCAGGTGCGGGGGCGGGGCCTGGAGCTACGGGGCGGGGCCCGGACGGACCTGGCGGGCTGCCCAGCGAGGGACCCCAACAAGTAGCTCTGCTGCTTCGAGCTGTGGACCCATTTGCAGATGGGGAGTCCACGGCTCCATGAGGGGCCAGCTCCTTTTCCAAAGTCGCGCTTTATGCGAAGAGTATCCAAGGCAGGATTTGAACCTGGGAATGGCTGTTGCCAGGACAGACTCTCTTCCCAGGCACCTCTCCACCCCCTGCTCATTCCTTCTCTCGTAGTTATCCGGTGGGGCAGCAGCATGGCACGGATAAGACCGTCTCCACATCCCAACCGGTCCAGCAGGGCCCCAGCCACTGTCCCCTGGATCTCTGATAGGAAAGCTATGTCTAGCCCTGGAGATGAGCCACCACTTAGGTAGGGGCTGTCACCCTGAGCCGCAGGGCAGTGAGCCAAGTGTTGGGCAAGAGGCGCAGGATCCTGAGCAGTTAAAACCTCCCACAAAAGGCAAACGTTTTAAAAAACATTGTTCTGCATATTTAAGATGAATATTTTTCTAAAACGTGTTACACATTTTCCAGGTTTCCTTTAGGAAAAATGCAGAGAGAAAGCAAACTTTGCTGCTGGCTCTGTTTTGTCTTAAATATTTATAGCAGTAGGTGCTGCCCCTGAGACAGGATCTGCAGTAGGGCTGTCTGTCCCTCTGAATGGCCCCATTCTGCTGGGCCTTTTGAATGTCACCGTTGAGTCGTGTGTGAACCAAGCTCTGGCAGTGTACTCAGACCTCAGCTAAGGTCTGGGCTCTGCCACTTACTCCTTGAGGTACCTCCAGCCTCTGTTTCCCCATTGGCGGGATGGGGACAATAATAACACAGGTTGTCCAGAGGACTGGCATTGTCCCCAAGTCCCCTTCCACCATCAAAGACATGGCAGCACCTGATCCCCACCAAGACTTGCCTTTGCCTTCGCCCTTCTTCCTGAGGAGCCACATCTTACTCTCCGTGCGTCTCCAGCACCCACCCTAGGGCCCATCACTCGACAGTCTGGAGTCTCCCCTGCCAATCTGTGATTGAACTATAACCCCCTCAGCCAGGCTGGTTAGAGCTTTGTGTAAGCTGGGAGTAAACTGGCTTTGAGTGAGGCGGACTGGACAGAGTTGCTTGGGAAAGACAGGCCTTCCCTTCTTGTCTCCAGGGGGTCCTCAGCCCTGGCCCAGGAAAGTAAGCTTGAGCAGATGTTTTGTGCTGTGTGCAGAGGGCAGTTTAACTCCCCTGGTGGGAAGTTTCAGGGGGGTCTGCACTTAGCCCTGCCCTGCTCCGTGGGCTGTATGGCGTAGGGGCCACAGGAGGGTCAGGCCTGACACAGCAGTGACCCCATTGCCTCCTGTCCCAGGATTCAGAGCAATTACATGGCGCTGCAAAGGATCAACCAGGAGCTGGAGGACAAGCTGTACCGCATGGTGAGGGCCACCACCCAAGGCCCCCATGGCCCTACCCCAGCACCCCCATCCCAGGCCCCCCAGCTCTGGAATCATGTGGGGAGCCGCCTGCCTAGCTGTCGTCCCCTGGCCTGGGCAGGCAGGAGCTGAGTTCCAGGCCTTGTTTCCTGAGCACCCCCGCCCCCCAGGCTGGGCCAGTCCCACCCCTTCTTGCACTGAAGGGGAGGGCACAGCCCTCAGGGCTGCCTGTGAGCCTCAGCAGCAGGATGGGAGCACCCGAGCTGGAAGAGTACAGGGGGGCTGTGGGAGAGAGGACATGCGCTGGGGACGGTGACCCAGCTCAGTCGGCAGCCCGGAGACCCAGGAGTTCAGGCCCCGGATAAGGCAGAGCCGGTCCGAGCCAGACTGTGCCTCTCAAGGGGACCCTCCCTCCTACTGTGAGGACTAAACACGTCCATGTCTGGCCCTGGGACAGGCCCTGGGGACATCACACCACCTGCAGATAAACTCAGCAGTGCCGCCTTTCCTGTTGAGACCTCTGTCTGGAAGCACAGAGAAGGCAGTGTTGCCCTCTGGTCTCTGCCTGAAGAGTGCTTTCAGAGCCGGCCTCAGGCGGGTTCTGACGCCTCCCCTGCACTGAGATAGGAGTTTCCACTCCCTCTGTTTCCCTACAAGCTTTTGTTTTGGGAAGTCAGAAATCGGTGTTCAGCACCTGCCTGTCTTCACGTTGCTGTCACAGAGTGGAGGCAGGCGGGCCTGGGGGCTGGGCTGGTTCTGCTCAGGACCCTGGACAAGGGCCTGTCCTTTCTGAGCCTCAGTTTCCCAGTCTTTTGAGTGAGATGGGCCAGGCTTTGTGCTGAGTGCAGGCCATCCTCCCTCAGTCGTCTTGGACCCCGAGGGAACAGGATGCCACTCTCCCTGTGGTGCAGATGAGAAGTTGAGGCTTAGGGAGGCAGCGACTTGTCCAAGGCCATCTGGCTTGTCAGTCATGGAGCAGGATTTGAACCTAGGTCAGTCTGCTCTTACCCCTGTATTCTTTGGCTATAAATACCTCATCATCACCAGCTGCAAGGGTCCCAGAAGGTCTAATGGAACAATTGGGCTTGAGTCCAAGGCCCTGGCTGACTGCTGACCACCTCCTTCTGCTGCCCCCACCCCACCCCAGGGCCAGCACTATGAGGAGGAGAAGCGAGCGCTGAGCCATGAGATTGTTGCCCTCAACAGCCACCTGCTGGAGGCCAAGGTGACCATCGACAAGCTGTCGGAGGACAACGTGAGTGTTGGGCCACTCTGACCCTGAGGGCCTAGGCCCAGGCACTGCAGCCCCCAGCCAGGCCCATGGTTGCTGCACAGGGGCAGGTGTGCAGATGGCCATCAGGGAAGGGTGGGCTCCCCAGAGGTACCATGCCAAGGGCACCTCGGAAGACCCTCTGCTAGAAGGAAACATGACTCAAGAGAGGGAACACAGGCTTCATTATCTCATTCCAGGCAGGGCTTCCTGACCCCTGGGCACGGCTACTCAGAGTCCTGCCTCCCGCTGGCCCTGGGGGACTTCAGCACTGGGGGTGGCTGCCCATGAGGCCTGATTTCACAGACCCTGGGAGATGGGCCCAGCCAGCCTCCAAGGGCCCGTCATGGCTCACCATGCATTCACTAGTGTCTGCTCCTTGCCAGCCCCTGCTAGGCTCTGCGAATTCAGAGTGAACAACACTGGCAAAAAATTCCCTGCCCACGTGGCATTTACATCTGCGTGGGGAATACAGACAGTAAACAAGATAACCACGTAAACTATGTGGTGTGTTTAAAGTGCTAAATGCTGCAGAGAAAGAAAATCAGGTCACAGTGCCTGGAGATGCCAGCTGCTGGGTTAGCATTGCACTAGTGCTTCTGGAAGGGCCACTGGAGCTGAGACCTGGAGGAGTGGGGGGCTAGCCCGGGGCCAGAGGAAGAGGGCTTGTCCAGGCAGGGGGAACCACAGCGGAAGCAGTGGGCCTGGATAATCTGAAGGTCGCCACGGAGACCAGGGTGGGCTCTTCGGGGAGGAGGGGCTCAGGGTCTGCGGGCAGAAGGACGAGGAGGCCACACTGTGGAGGCTCCTGCAGGGGTCTGGGTTCCTTTCCAAGTGGAATGGGAAGCCATGGCAGGTTCCTGAACAGAGGAGTGACATGACTGGACGTACACTTTTACTGGCTCTGTGGCTGCTCTGCTGAGAACTGACTTCAGGGCACAAGACGGGAGGCAGGCAAGGCTCTTAGGGCAGTGATCCAGGTGCAAGACAGGTGGCCCAGCCAGGTGGCAGCATGGAGGTGGGAGAAGGCTCGGATTCTAGCTGGACTCTGAAGATGGAACCAAAAGGACTGACTGAGATTTCAGCTGTGGAGGATGAGCGAGAGAGAGGGGTCGGCCCAACTGCAGAGTTCAGAGGCCGAAGGAAAGGGGCAGCCAGCCACTTCCCAGGCTGGGGATGCCTGGGGCAGGAGGGGAGTGGGGCAGCAGGAGCCGGGCTGGGGCAGCACACTAGACATTCTTGTGGAGAGGCCGTGGCGGCAGCCAGAGAGCAGGGTCTGCAGTTCAGGGCGGACATCAGCACGTGCATGGCCTGTAAGGCCGCAGACGGGCCGAGACCTCGGGGAGCAGACAGTGAAGAGAGAGGAGACCCCAGGCAGGGTGGCTCTCCGAAGCCTGCCAAGGACTCCCCGGCAGATTTGGGCTGGCTGGGCAGGGCCCACAGCCCTCTGATGCCCGTGGCAGCTGGTCTGGGGCCTCACAGGGGAGTCAGTTCTCAGCTCCTGGCCAACTGTGCCCTTCCCAGGAGCCCCTGGACCCCTCCACTGTGCAGGCCAGGGTCAGGGGGAGGTGCAGGAGCCTCCAGGACCAGGCAGGGCAGGGCAGGGGCCACGCCTCCATCAGCCTGCCTGAGACTGGGAAAGCCGTGGTCTCAGGTCCCCCAGTGGGCCCAGATTCCTCCCTGTTGGAGCCCATGCAGTGGAGGGTCCCTGTGGGGACAGGGATGGGAGGCCAACCACAGGCACATGCAACAGAGATTTTCCGAAGATGAACCAAACCTCGATTCCTACTGTTTGCATCTGTTTTCAGCTCAGGAGGCTGGGTCAGTCCCCACCTGGTCCTGGGGTCACACAGGCCCTCTCCCCCACATGCCCTGATCCTTACCCAGCCAGGCCACACTCTGAGAACGGGGTGTGAGCAGCGAGTCTGAGCCACGGGGTCGGGGAGGCTGCAGGCACGTTGCTCACCCCTCCTTGGTGCCGCTCTCTACTGAGCTCTCCGTGGAGGGTCTCGGGGGCTTCCAGGAGTTCAGGGCCATGGGGGCACTTTCCCACTCCCTGTGGGAGGTTCCCGTCTGGGGCAGCACAGGACTGCCTGGCAGGGCCCCCTCCATGCACCAGCAGCTCCAGCCCAGAGCCGAGGCCCCCATTCTGCAGGCAAGAGCGTGAGACCCAGAGAGGGTCCTTGTCCTGCCAGCTGCAGAGCCCACCCCGCCCACCTGTTTGCCATGCTGGCCACTGGGCGCCCATCAGCGTGGCGGGGCCCCTGGCTGGAGCGAGCCGGCGCCGAACGCCTTCTCTTGTCTTTTAGGAGCTCTATAGGGAGGACTGCAGTCTAGCGGCCCAGCTGCTGCAGTGCAGCCAGACCTACGGGAGGGTCCATAAGGTGTCCGAGGTAACGTGAGCCCCGCGCCCCAGCCAGGCCTGCCCCACCCCCCGGACCATGCGGGGCTCCTTTTCTGCAGGTCCCTCCCCAGGACCCCTCCCCACCCATGAGGAGAAGGCGCTAGTGTGCCTGAGCTGAGGTCTCCCTGCTCCTGCAGCAGCCTGGCCTTCCTGGGAAATGGTGGAGGGGGTGCCACCCCCCAATACACATCTCCTCCTGCAGCCTGGACAGCTGCCCATTCCCCTCAGTTTCCTCTGGAGGCTGCTCCCTGCTCCAAGGCCCCCTCCATAGAATGCCAACCCTGTGTGTGCCTCACAGAAAACCTAAGGTCTGATTTGGGCACAGTTACTGACAGGGCCCTTTTCAGAGACAAGAACACTGGCTTCACGCGAGAAGTGATTTGGCCAAGGCCACAGCACTCTCTGGCGCCAAAGCCAGGCTGGCCCAGGGTCCTGCCCCCACCCCACCAGGCTGCCCCTCCCTTCCACGCCCTCCCCTGCCCTCGGGCCACACCCTCCCTTCCTGAGCCTGGGCCATACCTGAGACACTCACAAAATAGATCAAACAGTAGCGGGATGTCCCCACCAGGCACCAGGCTACCGTGCGGAAACTGCTGGGTGCCTGGCCCTGGCCCTCAATCTTTGTTGCATCTGTTTCTGAGTCTGTCTTGTTCAGGAGCACCCAGGCCTCGTGACTGGGTGTGGGGTGCCCCCAACAGACTCTGGGGCTGAAAGAACAAGTCAGCCCTTCGGTTGGAGGAAAAGAGGGGACCTGCAGCCCCAAGAACAGCCTGAGTCAGACCCTGGTTCCAGCCTCCAGGCTCTGCAGGGCCCAGGTGGAGTGGGCTGAGGGGACAGAGGTGACCAGGGGTCTTCCGGTGAATCCAGGAGCTTGTGAAATAGTGTCTTGGTCCCTGGCTCTAGCTGGTAGGATCTCGGAAGCCCTGGACAGGCCCCCCTTCATCCATCTGCCTGTTGGTGGGCCCTGGGCTGACTGCAGCCTTGTCCTCCCCTTGCGGTCCTGCTCACGTCCGCCAGCTGCCCTCGGACTTCCAGGAGCGCGTGAGCCTGCACAGGGAGAAGCACGGCTCTCCGCTCTGCCACCCGGCCTATGCCACCAGCAGCCCTACCTGCATCATCGCCAAGGTGCTGGAGAAGCCGGAGCCCACCAGCCTGTCCTCTCGCCTGTCAGACGCCTCAGCCCGTGACCTGGCCTTCCGAGATGGGGTCGAGAAGCTGGGCCCACAGCCTCCTTACAAGGGGGACCTCTACTGCAGTGACACGGCCCTCTATTGCCCCGAGGAGCGGCGGCATGACCGGCGGCCCAGCGTGGATGCGCCCGTGACTGACGTGGGCTTCCTGCAGGCACAAAACTCCACCGACAGCGCCGCCGAGGAGGAAGAGGAGACAGAGGCTGAGGCGGCCGCCTTCCCCGCAGGCTTCCAGCACGAGGCCTTCCCGGGCTATGTGGGCTCGCTGCCCACATCCAGCTCCTACTCCAGCCTCAGCGCCACGTCGGGGGAGAAGGAGCACGTCCAGGCCAGCACGCTCACCGCCCCGCAGCAGGCCATCTACCTGAACAGCCGCGACGAGCTCTTCAGCCGCAAGCTGCCCGCCGCTGCCACCTACGAGGGCAGCCCGCGCTTCACCAAGGCCACAGCTGCAGTAGCGGCCCCGCTTGAGGCCCAGATGGCCCCGGGGTTTGCGCGGACCTTGTCACCGTACCCGGCCGAGACATTCCGCCTCCCAGCCTCCCAGGGCCCCCAGCAGGCCCTGATGCCCCCAAACCTGTGGAGCCTTCGGGCCAAGCCAGGGACGGCCCGGCTCTCCAGGGAGGACATGCGGGGCCAGTGGCGGCCCCTGAGCGTGGAGGACATTGGCGCCTACTCCTTCCCAGCCACCACTGCCAGCCACGCCTCACCCTGCAGCTTCTCTGAACGCTACTATGGTGGCAGGAGCAGCCCAGGCAAACAGGCCGAGGGCCGCGCCAGCCCCCTCTATGCCAGCTACAAGGCTGACAGTTTCTCAGAGGGCGATGACCTCTCCCAGGGCCACCTGGCAGAGCCTTGCTTCCTCCGGGCAGGCGGCGACCTGAGCCTTAGTCCCGGTCGCTCTGCCGACCCACTGCCAGGCTACACGCCCAGCCAGAGGGACGGGGAGAGGCTTGGGGTGCAGCTGTGCGGGGCGGGCGGCAGCCCTGAGGCCGAGCACAGCACCCACAGTTCCCGGGACTCCTTGGAGCCTAGCTCCATGGAGGCCTCCCCAGAAATGCACCCCGCCGCCCGCCTGAGCCCCCAGCAGGCCTTCCCACGGACTGGTGGCTCTGGGCTCAGCCGCAAGGACAGCCTCACGAAAGCCCAGCTCTACGGAACCTTGCTCAACTGAGAGCCCGCGTGCAGGCCACGGCCACACCACGGCCCCGGGGCCACCCGCCCCCACCCCACAGGGAACTTGAGGGGCACACTTGCCTCTCCCGGACACCCAGCCACAGCCCCTGCCAGCAAGGACCCCTCCCCACATGGCCCAGGGGAGCCTGAGAGGAGGCCCCCCACACCGTCTTGTCCAGCCCTGCCCCGCCACAGCGGAACAGCCCCAGGAACGCTTTTCACGCACCAAACTCCTTCCCCACCTCAGAGGAGCGCTCCCCCTTTTATAAAGTCAAACTATTTTTATAGAGAAAAAGGGTCTTTCTTAACGCACTTGGCCTTCCGCTCCCTGGGCGGCAGCCTCGGCGTCTCCACCACAAAGCTCCTTTATTTCCGGGTGAGGGCAGGTGGGCCTGCCCTCCGGGTGGGACGGACGGTGTCCTGTGCAGGCACTGCAGCGGACCAGTGACAGGGCAGCCCCGAGGCTGTCCATGAAGGGGGGACCTGGAACGGTGGAGGGACGTGAAATGTTTTCAACCTGCTTCCGCCGTGCGGCCAACACACCACCCAGCCCCTTCCGTGGTCCGCAGTCCTGAGTGGGGCCGGTGCTCATCCCCCCAGCGTCCCGCCCCCAGCACTGCCTCGCTCTACCTCACACGTGATGAGGCCCCGACTCCCATCTCTGTAGCTCGCCTTCCCGTCATCTGTGATGCATGCCCCATCTCAGTCGGTACTGTACTTTTTCGTTCGTTAATAAAAGACATCAGTGGAAAAAATTGGGGTTTGGGCGTTTCTTCGCCCATCGTCTTTTTTGATGGCAGGGATATGAAGCCCTCCGGCCAGGGCGGTCTCCTGACAGCCGCCCTCTGTCCCCACCGGCGTCTTGTCCACTGGCACCTGAAGCTGAAGCAGCTCCTCTCCCAAGATGGCTTCAGATCTGCATTTCAGACGTACAGGTGAGGGTAAAGGTAGGCACCAGCCTCAGGGAGAGGGGTGGAGGGGACAGCCCACACTTCGTTTTCATTCCTGATCCACACTTTCTAAATTTAGCTCTCTTATTTTAAAATTGTAAATGGTGAACTCCCAGATACCTTGCAGAGAATCAGAGTGAGCTTTTAGGAATGCTCTGTGGAAGAAAGTACTCAGAAAAAGGGATGAAGGCACAGAGCACACCTGCCGTTCTTCCCAAAACGATACCCTAAAAAAGGAGGGCTGGGTCCAATGACCCTGAGCTGGGTCACTGGGACCCTACATGCTGCGTGAGCCTGGGGGTTTGCTTCCTTCACCCGCCTGAGGACCATGCAGAGGGGACAGTAAGTGCAAAGGCCCTGTGGCACTGTGCTGAGCTCAGCTCCAGACTCCCTAAATTGGTGCAGGCCCAGCAGGTGCTGCATCCACTCAACTCACTGCTGTGGCCAGGCTCAGCACTGACTGTGGGGTCAGTCCTCAGGATGAGCTCCACCTCAGGGCCTTCACCCTTCTCGCTGCCTGGAATGTCCAGCCCATGAACCCTGAGGCAAGTTACACACCCTGAAGTAAATGTACTTACACACCAGGCCTCCAGACACCCCTCCCAAAATGCCCAGTGCCCACCTCCCCAGGAGACCGGTGGAACACTTTGTGTGCCAACACCCAGCACAGACTTGACAACCTTAGACCCTCACAGCAAGCCTGCAGGCTTGGGATTCTGGCATTGCTTTACAGATGGGGAAACAGAGGCTCAGAGAAGAGAGATGACTTGTCTGAGATCCCAGCTATGCTGACAGCAGAGCTGGCCTGGAATCCAGGCTCTGGAGAGGCAAAGCTGGGCCCCTCTCGCCTCCACCACAGGCCTCCTCTGGTCCTCTGTGCTTCCTCACTGGCCCCCTGCCAGGAATGCCCTCCTCACCAGCTCACAAGCTGCCTCCTCCAGGAAGGCATCCCGGGAGGCAGGGAGGCACCTGCCCTGAGCCATGGCACCCCTATCACCTGTCGGGGTATTGCCAGGCTCTTAAGGGCAGCCCCTTGATTATGGTCTGGGTGGGTCAGCGTTCGTGGGCCCACCCAGATCCCCAGGGAGCCGGGTCTGCCGCCTCCCCAACTCCCCGAGCCTCCTCAAGGGCCCTTTGTCTCCACATTGCCCCTTCCCCGGGGCCAGACATGCCCACGTGGGCAGCACACGTGCAGACAGGTGGTGGGCAAGGAGCCCTGGACCCGGAGCTGCCATGCTGCATAGGGAGAGGGGAAGGCCTGAGCCCTGTGAAGGCTGCAGGGCCTGCTGTGCTCCAGTGTGGAGTTCTAGAGGCAGGCCCAAGACCTGGGGCCCCCAGAGCCCCCCAGTGGCCCTTGGGGAGCCCCCAATCAGGCCCAGCAGAGAGGGCTGCCCCCATCTCAGGCTCCCACTGTTCCCCATCTCAGAGCCCCGATGGGCCAGGGTGGGCAGACGATAGGAAGCTGCCAATACACATTTGTCAGTGAAATAACCTAAGAAATAGCCAACACATTTACTGACATCCCTGGCAACAGCCGAGTGCTTTTGCTAATGCAGTCTTCACAACCCTGAGTCAAATGGACCTTTGTCCCCATTTTATAGATGAGGAAACAGCGTCAGTTGGTGGAGGAGGCAGCTTCCACGCAGGTCTGGCCATGACAGCAAGCTCAATGCTTACTCACACCCACCCACGCCCAAGGACAGAGGGGAGTCTGGGGCCTGGCTGGTGTCTGGGAGGCTCCACACTAGGAGGCTCAGTGCCAGATCTTAATGTCGCCCTCCCAGGAGCAGGTGGCAAGGACAGAGGGCAGCACAGGGTGGAAAGTGGTGCCGACACAGGCCTGTGCGTGGCCTGGCAGGGTGCGCGCCCGGCTGGCAGTGCGGAAGCTGTAGAGCAGGACCCGGCCGTCGGCACTGCCCGTCACCAGCAGGTCACCGTCCGGGGAACACTCGCAGCCCACCGAGTAGCCTTCCACCTGCAGAAGGCGACATGCAGGGATGCAGGCCAGTCAGTGCTGCTGCACGCAGTCTCACCTGCCCTCCAGGTAGCCTGAGGTAGGGCTGTGGTGCCCATTCCACAGAGGAGCAGCCTGAGACTCAGAGCAGGGCTGCACACTCTACACGCCCAAAGCCCAGGCTCCCTCCATGAGGCTGGTCCCAGCGGGGACCCTGCGTCACGAGGCCAGGTCAGGGAAATCCACCTGGCACAGCTCCAACGTGGCTAACGGTGCCTGGCCTCAGTGACACTCACCACCCCAGCCCTCCCCCAGTGAGGCAGGCCTCAGTAGGGAAAAGGGGCAGACGTAGAAACGGCCCCCACCCAAGTTCGGTCCTGTCTCCTCCCCCTGCCCATGGCCAGTCCGTGCGACCCAATAAGTCAGGGAAAACCTTTCCTGCCCAGCAGCAGGTGCCTGAAGGTAGGGCCAGATGTGGCCCAGGCCCTTAAGTGGATATTAGGTCATATAGCATGTGGTCACCCAGGAAACAGAAAACAGAATCTGCCCAGACAGCGGGTTCATGCAGTCTGGGCCCCAATCTATTGCTGGTGTCTGATGGGCTCTGGGGCCAGTGCTCCACTTTCAACGTGGGGGATAGCGTACCTTGTGCCCTTCGTAGCGCCGCCTTCTGCTCATCCGGTAGGGCCACACAGCAGAGAAGAGGGCCAGGTAGTTGCCATTGGTCTGCGCCAGGAACACAGGCTCCCGGGGGTGCAAAGTGAGGCTGGGGCAGGTGTATCTCTCCTGAGAAACAGAGGGGCCACAAGAAGGGTGGAGAAGGCTCCCAACCAGGCCGCCTTCTTCCCAGGCAGGCTGCGCAGCCCTCCACCGGTGGGCCTTGCGTCCCACTCCCAGACCTTGGCTTACAGGTGGTATGAGTGTCCTATCGCCGCTTTAACAAAAGGACACAAACTTAGAGGCTTTTAACAACGCGAATTACTCTCCTGCAGCTCTGGAGGTCAGAGTCTGAGCTGGACCTCACTGGCCTGGAAGCACAGTGTCCGCGTTCCTTAGACACGCCCCTTAGAAACACGTGGTTCCTCAGAAAGAAGGGCTGTGTTCCCGGAGGCTCGGAGGCCAATATGTTCCTTGCCCTTCTCGCTCCTAGAATAGAAGGGGCCCACATTCCTCACCTTACGGCCCTGGCAGCGGGCTGAGAAACAGCCCCCAAACTATATCCGTGACCTAATAATTCCCAAGGCCTGTGCGTGTCACTTTATACAGATGTGACTAAGTGACAGCTCTTGACATGGGGAACTTATCCTGTCCTAGCGCCCTGAGTACAGGCAGAGGGGGAGCGGGTACACAGGGCGGCACGGAGAGCCCCGCGTGTGGAGCGCAGAAGCAGCCCCCAGATTCTCCGCAGCGCCCCGGGGACTGTGCTCCTGAGTTCAGCCCAGTGATGCTTACAAACCTCCAGAACTGTGAGAGGACACATTTCCGTTGGTTTGAGGTGCCAAGTTTGCGGCCATTTGTTACACGGTGAGAGGAGAGGATCCACGTGCCCGTCACCCCGCCTCCCCGTGAGCCAGGGCAGCCCCGGCCCAGCCCGCACGCACGGTCAGGGAGGAGGCGGATGGCCGGACGAGAAGATGCGCGCGAGCTAAGCGTTCAACACGAGGCGGGGATGGGGGATGGGCTCAGTCACACAGAAACACCCCTAAAAACTCACTTCTCAACTGCCCGTCCCTCCATTGTTCTAAGTGTTGTCCCAAAGTCACACTCGAAATGTGCGCGACCTCAGAGGGCAGAGTGGGAGGCGGCTGGAACCACGGCTCAGACTAGCCTGCCCACTGGTGGTGGAGGCCATGCTGACCTGGGATGAGCTCCCCGGCTCGCGGGGAGGGTGACGCCCCCAGGCAGAGAGCCTGCTCGCCCCAGGGAGAGAGAGGAGGTGTGATTCTAGGAGGGCCGACAGCTTGGCACAGGTTGGCACACAGCACTTCCGTCCACCTCGCTGCTTGCCCTGGTCTCTGGAGGGGCTGCTGGGGGCAGGACGCCCTGGTGGCCAGACGTGTCTCTCCAAGCCCCTCCCAGGGCCTGTCCCTCCCAGCCTGTTGCACCAGACCCCTGCCGCGAAGACCGAAGACCGGGAGGTGTGTTTGCTCAGGGCTGCTGAGAACCTCTGGCAACAAGGGAAAGGCAGGGAGGTGAGAAGGAATATATGCACACCTAATATGCATTATTAAATTCGGGGCAGAAACACCAAAGAGAGTAGCCATGGCTTATTTTAAATCTTAAAAGATGATGATGGGGGTTATAATGGCAGTGATGGTGACAGTGACGGTGATGGTGGTGGTGGTCAGTGATGCTGACGGTGGTGACCACAGTGATGGCGGTGATGCTGGTGGTGGCGGTGGCGATGGGAATGCATTTAGGGAACACTATGAGCCCAGGACTGTACGAGACCCTTTATAAGCATTCTCTCTCTTAATTCTCAAAACCACTCTATGAAGTGACTAATATTCTCAACCTCAGTTTCCTAAGAGGAAAATGAGAATCAAAGAGACTAAATAATGGCCCAGGGCCCCCAACTTGTGAGCCGTGAACCAGACTTTAACATAGGTGCTCTACCTCCGCGGTCCCAAAGCCACTGACAGCGTGGGGGCAGAAACCCGTGGGCTGGCTGGGGCGGCAGAGGGAGGGTCGGGTGTCTCGGGTCTCCTGGCTGGACAGTGCTGCCCCTCCACTCCCTTGCGCTGGGGGCTGGCCATGCTGGCAGAGGGCCAGCGGGAGGACAGTTAGGGGCTGCTGTGAGCTGGGGGGCCTATGCTACACTCTCTGGGCAGGCCGAGACCTGCACTTTGCCTATCCCCACCACAGAGACTTCAGGCAGCCAATCCATCTCCAAAGAGTCTGCCTACAGACCTGCCCCTCACAGGCAGGGCCCCCGGGTCGCAGACAGCCTAGCACAGTCGATGTACCCTGCAGCTGAACCTGAGAGCAGTGCCAGAGTTTCTCACATGGAAAATCTGGTTGGAGATTTTGGCGGAGCTCCGGAAGTCCCAGGCAATAATGGTGCGATCGGCAGAGTCCCGACTCGAAGCATCTGTGCTGCTCAGAAACTCGGAGCCTTCCTGGAGGAAGAGGATGTCCAAGGTCTGCTGGATGGTTGCCTTGTAGCTCCGCACTACCTGCAAGAGCGGGTACCAGTCACATTGGTGGGCCCCAGGAATACAGGGAGGGCACCCACCGAGAGGGCCAGGGAGGGGCCACCAAGCGCCAGAGGGCAGGTGGGTTTGGTGGGGGCAGTGCTGGGCAACACAGCCCCAATGGAGCAGCCCAAGCCACGGAGCTGCGGGCTGGAGCTGGGGGACCTCAGCGCCCTCCTGTCCCAGCAAGCAAATGTCCATCTCCCTTGGGAGCTGCTCCATGGTGCGTCCACAGCCTGGCCACACTGGGCCCCTAGAGAGCGACTGGTGCTCAGTGAAAGGGAGCTGAGGGCAGGGCTCACTGGCCAAGGGCACTCAAAGGGCATCACCGGTGCCCACCACTACTGGGGCCCTATTTTGTGGGAGCATCGTGCTTCTGAAGACATAACATAATTCATAGCCCACAGAGCCTCAGCCTGCTGTCCCTGGAGTAGTGACTGTGTTACAGGAGCCCACGAGGGCAGAACCACCACATGCAGGCTGGCTTTAAAGACATTTTTTATTTCTTAGTATCACCACCCCTGTTTCATAGCCCCTCATCTTGTAAACGAAAGTGATTAAATATCAAGCAGTTCGGCTTCCTTAAGAGCATTTTATCACATTCACCTTCCACCCTAAAACAACTGGTTGGGGGTGGGGGGCTGTGGCGTCCCAGTACCAAGACTAGCAATTACCTTCGCTTAACAAACTCATAGACAACACAACTTCAAATTGCACGATTCAGCAACAGGCTGGTACTGCATGGCCTGGCGTGCCTAGGGAGAGCCAGCCTGTTTACCAGCTCCCAGGGCGCCACCATGTGGCCACAGCATAAACACAGGTCTGTCCCTTGGCCCCTGACTGTGAAATGAGGCATCTTGACAAATTTTTCTTTAATTGGAGCTCACCACCTTTTAAATTTTGCAGACTTGTATATTCTATCATCCTCTTTCAAATGTACATAAGTGAAACTCACAAGAAATGCAGCATTCCATAAATCCATTTGGGAAGGGGTTGTTTAGAGACCCATTTTCCAGATGAGACACACTGAGGCTCAGAGAGATGCCAGATTTGCTCCAAGTCTCATGGCCAGGGTGTGGTCTCATGCCCATCCCAGCTGCTTCCTTGCAGCCCACATCCCAGGCTCCTGCTGGCTGATATCTGCCTCCATAAATGTTGCACCAGACTCCTGGGAGAGGACAGGGGACAAATGACTGCTCTTCTCTGAACCACTTCAGAAGCAGCCCGCACCCAGGTTGACTTCAGGGTGGCCACCAGAAGCTGAAGAGGGTCCAGGGGCAGCCCCGCAGGCCCCTGACTCAGGGCAGAAAGATGGGCTGCTCCCCAGGCAGGTTGGGGCTGCTGCCTTCCCGCCTCCCCTGCATGCACCAGGATCCCACCTGCCCACTCTGCCTTCCCAGGGCCGCTCTGGGTCTCAGAGAACATGGACTGGGAAGGAGCTCTGCGCCCCCCAACCAGAGGGCCCAGCAGCTGTGCCACTGGTGAGATGTTCCGCCTACCCAGTCTGAGGCTGAGCCAGGGTCTGGGCCGGGGATCAGGGGGGCAGTGTAGCACACCGTCACAGGCCCCAGTGTCTAGCAGATGAGTTTGCACATTTCAACTCACAGGAGAGCGCCACCCCAAGGCTGTAACTGGAATCTGCTTGGCGGGAGCGTGAGGGGAGAGCACGCCGCTCTGGAGCCGTCTCTCTCCCGGTTCATCTGCTCCTCCTGCCCCGTCGCCCCCCACTCAACCTCAGCTCCACCAGCCACCTCAGGGTTCCACCTGCTGAGGCCACACTGGGCCTGCATGCCTTCCTTCCCCTTCTCCCAGAGCCCACTCCATCACCGCCGTTCAGGTGCAGAGCAGGGGAGCCAGAGATGGCAGGGTGGCAAATGCCAAGGGAGCACGTATGTCCCTGGACACAGCCTATACCCCAAGCGGCGCCTCCCTGCTGATGGGGGCACAGGCAGCCCCCAGAGCATGGCCTTCGGTGGGCACCCTCCTGCACGGGGCAGTACCCAGCCCCCCAGGAGGACCACGGGCTCCCATGGGCAGGTCCGGGCCTTCTCCCTGCAGTCCCCTCTCCAGCCACGGCCCAGGACCCCCGAGGGCCGCAGCAAACACGCTGGCCCAGAAAAGGAGGGAGGACGCGGAGGGCCGCCTGCTGCTGGCTGAGTGCCTGTTGAGTGCCATCACTGGCCAGGAGCTCCGCATTAGTTTGCCCATGACCGTCCAACAGTAGCTCTCCAGGGAGTGGCACGAAGGCCCAGAGAGAAGCAAGGTGCCAGGGGCCCTCAACCTGCACAGCAGCACCACCTGCACGCTCACCAACACACCATCTGCCTCCCAAGAAAAACTTCCAGGGGAAGAAAACCATTGCTCTGTACATTTCCTGAGAACGGACAGAAATGGCCCCATTCATTAGGGCGTCATAAGGCAGAATGGCTGGGAAACAAGCCGAGTCACGGGCTATCCCTGCCGATAACTGCTGTAAGTGCAGGGCTGACCTCTGACGCGATCACTGCCGAGCAGGATGGCCTCGCTTCACGCCTGCCCATGCCCCAGGGGACAGCAGAGGAGCTGCATGTGTGTCCAGCTGGTGGGTTTCGT